GGGGGAGGAATTATTGGGAGGAGAGACTGCACAGAGGTTGCCTGGAGCAGATGGAGGAAAGGAAGCGTAACAGTCCAGCAGATAAGCCGGGCTAAGGTTCAGCTTGCTTAATTTCTTTGTACCTTAGCAGATCGTTCAGTTAACACAAATCCAGGAAATGGGTTAATTCAGGAGCAAGGATGAAAAAGAAAAGTAGAAACCGTCATAAGGAGGAAGAAATGACAGCAGGGAATGACAACCGAAAGGGAGAGAATGAGAGGGAAGTGTGGAAAGGGGAAGTGAGATTAGAAGAAAAAGCAGAGGAAAGGGCCAAAAGAGGCGCGTTTAAAAAGGATAACGCTGAGAAGGGCTATTGTGATTTTACCCTCACAGAGTGTCCGGTGAACAGCACCTTCTACAGAGGGATTAAGCTGGGGGCAGCCTTGCCAGTCTTCCCGCCCAGCCCCTCCACCACCTGTTCAGCAGCCTTTCAGCCACCGCCAGTGCCCCAGACCCAGGCAGGGCCAACCTAAACGGTGCCAAGGCCTAGGGACGCCACAGGCATCGCCTCCAGCCCACGGCTCTGTCCTGGCTCCCAGCACCCCCAGCAGCCTTTTGTTCCCAAAGGGTCAAAGGCAGCAGGACGGTCGGGGCCTTCTGGTTCTGCCCCCTTTCACCTCCGGGCACACGCCTTCTGGCACAGGAACATCACCACCCCAGGAATTCGTGCCCCCTCCCAGGAATTGTCAGGGGACCTTTTGAGATTGAAATTGTGTCAGGGACTGCTGCTGGTCGTCTAGTTTTTTGTACGGATCTCCTCTGTTGGTACCTTTGGCGCTTCGAAGTTCCTCCTGGGCCCTGGAGTCATGACATTTGGGGCTGAAGTATCCAAGAAAGATCGGGGGGAATGCTCTGGACAGCCAGGGCTGTACCCCACAAAAGACTTCTTGCTTGTTGCAGCCTGCAACAGTAGAGAAGGAGGTTGTGACCAGAAGGGATGCGCGGATATGCAGCACAGCTGAGCCACATCTAAAGGCCTGGTTCTCACCCTGCCGGGTTCAACTTGCTTTCTGAGTATGGTGTGAATGGCGAGGCCTGATTCTAGGATCTCAGAGCTTGTTAGAAAGAGGAGAATTTGCACGTGGCTCTACCTCCCATCACTCACTCCTGAATCTCAAAGCAAGGGTGGGTTGTAGGTCAAGGGGATAGTTAGTTTCCCTTCCAAGGCTTGAAAAGATGATTCCTCCTTGGTTCTCTGCCTGGAGGTGCTGGGCTTGACTTGGAGTGGGGATGGGGGGTGGGAAGGCAAAGAACCCAGGCTTGACCTTCAGACCCTGGAACTGTTTCCTCTTTTCCTTCCTGCAGAGACCACCACCAGCAGCACCTCCACATTCGAGGTACCCCCCACCACCAGGATCTATGACTCAGAGGAACAAAGCAGTGATGAAGCCGTGTCACCTTCTGTGGTCCCTGGTCTGGTCTTGGTGGCATTCACCCTTCACTTGATCTAGTGAGTATCTTTTCTATCAGGGCTTTTCCCAGGGTGGAAAAGGGTTCAAGGACAGACTGAGAAGATAGGATGGAAAGAGAACAGGTGGGGCCGCTTATGGCTCCATAGCATCCCACGGTCATGCCACTGAAATTCAGAGTTAAAATGGCCAACTTTTGGTGGAGCCAGTTTTCAGACAGTGGTGGTGGAGGTGGTGGTGGTGTCTACAGCGGTAAAGATGGGAAGGGAAGGGGAGCCCTTTGAGAAGCAAATCATTCAAAAATACACCCCCAAAAGAAGGCAATAAAATGCAGCTGCGTCCACATGGAGTGGAGCTCCTGTTGCCAGGTCACGACCACCATCTTGACCTCCCTGCAGACACTCCTGATAAAATATGTGGTTTCCACACAGTCTTTCTTCTGCAGGAATCACCTCTGGTTCTGTTCCCATCTTGCTTTCCAGGTTCATCTCTGTGGCTTTGTTGTCCTTGTCCCCTTATCCATTTGAGGACCCACCCACCTACGATCCTTTCTCCACCCCACCCCACCCCACCCCCGTTTGGAGGTACCATTGCTCAGTGTTCGCTCTCCGCAATGTTAGGCCCCCCTAACTGGGGGATCTCTTCGTCTGGGGAGCTGTAGTCCCCAGGTGCTGGAGGCCTCCAAGCTGGGAAGCCACCCTGCAGCCATGGAAAGCCCTCCTTGCGACCTCCAGGTCTCCTGGGAGCCCTGCGAACACCGCAGCGTTAGGCTCACCAGGCGGTTCAGTGCATCAGGAGGCAGGGCGTCCTGA